ATGGCGAAGGACTCGAACGACGCAGGTCAAGGGAAGGCGCCCAGGATGAGCAAGCGTGTGCTGCGGCAGGCCGAGCAGGTCGGGCGGCAGATCGACGAGAAGAGGGAGGCCGTGAAGGAGGCGGTGGAGGAGCTGGAGGCCAAGGCGCGGAGGCTGCGCGAGCTGGCGGCGTCGCTGAAGCCCGCCGCCAAGAGGGCGGTGGGACCGCCTGCGGCAGCGCGGCGCCTCCGCCTCCGGGGCGGCGGCGAGCCCCCTGCGGCCCGCCGTCGCGCGGCGCCGCGCCAGGAGGGAGTCGTTCAAGCTGCACCTGTCGCGGCTGGCGAAGGACGTGGACCCCGCCTTCGGCGTGACGCGCGGCGGCCTCGACGCGCTGGACGGCGTGACCTGCGAGCTGCTGGAGCGCCTGGCGGGCGGCGCCGCCGGCCTGACGAAGGTGGGGCGGCGGGTGACGCTGGGCGAGCGCGACGCCGAGGCGGCCGTGCGGCTGCTGCTGCGCGGGCGGCTGCGGCGGGAGGGCGAGCGCGCCGCCCGCGCCGCCGTCGGGCGCTTCAGGGCGTGGCGCTGAGCCGGGCGGAGGGGGGGAGGCCCTCTCCCTTGCCTCTCTGCCAGAGGAAAAGGAAATCAAGAAATAAGAAAATACGAAATAAAAAGAAATGAAAAGAAAAAAAAAACTTTCTTCGCATCAAAAAACAAACAAAAAATACCCTTTCTTTCATAAAAAACTAGTCTTTCTTCGCATTCAAAAAACAAAACAAAACAAAAACAAAAACTTATTCAATAAAAGAAAGAAAGAAAAGTAAAAATTTAAAAAAGAACAAAACAAAACAAAAACAAAAACTTATTCAATAAAAGAAAGAAAGAAAATAAATAAAAATTTAAAAAGAACAAAAAAAAAAGAAAAAGAAAAATAAAGAACAACAAAAAAGAAAGAAAAATAAAAAAGAACAAAAAAATAAAAATAAAAAATAAAATTAAAGAAAAAAGAAAACGGGCCCCAAGGCCCTTTTGGCGGGAATCCCTGCCGGCCGGGGGGGCGGGGGGGCAGACGCGAGGATTCGTTAAAAAGACGTTAAAAAGGTTTTCTGAAGCGACTTTGCCTATTTTGCTCTCTTTTCCGAAGCTCGGTTTTAATTCTGTTTAATTTTGATTTTAATCCCTACCTTACCCTTACCTATTGTCTATTACATTTATTTGTTTAAAGCTTCAAAAATTGTCCATTGATCCATACCTTACTGAACTAATAAACGACTCTTGATAATGATAAAAAAATGAAAAAACTGTGTATGTATTCTAAACGACTCAAACGTACTCATTCCATACATAATGCGATTTTATATAGATATGCAAACACACGCTCACTTACGCACACACTCATATGTATATATACATATATATATATATATATATATATATATATATATATATATATATATATATATATTCATATATATACATATATATCATATACTAATATACATACCTATATATACATATATTTATGTATGTATGTATATATATACGTATATAACTGTCGTGGGGGTCAATGGATAGAGCACTGGACTCCGACCCTCGTGGTCCCGAGTGAAACTGCTGGCTCGAGCGCGACCTCACGGCGAGAAAACGAAATATCGCCTTGAGAATCAAACGCAGGTGTAGGGGAAGAGGATAGATCCTGCAGTGGAATGAATGGCTGTTGAACAAACAAATATACGCATATACATATCAATATACACATTCATATATCTATGTATTTATCCATCTATCTATACATTTATATATATACATACATATATATATATATATATATATATATATATATATATATATATATATATATATATATGTATATATATATATATATATATATATATATATATATATATATATATACATATATATATGTGTGTATATATATATATATATATATATATATATATATATATATATATATATATATATATATGTGAATGTATATATATCAATATATATGTATATACATATATATAAGATGTAAGCGTAAGGCGTTGTGAGGGGCTTGATCACCGCTGCCATCAGATGTAAGCGTAAGTGACCACGGCAAGCCACTAGATGTAAGCGTAACAGAGATGGTCTTGGGGCGGTCAATGAAAGGGGACTTAACTTGCTGGTTTATTTCTGAAGATAGATATGAGACCCCCAAGAGACCCCCGTGTCCCCGGGTGGAGGACGAGGTGGTGGAGCTGGACCCTGTGTCGCTTGGCCTGTCTGCCGTGTCTCCTTCTGTCCCCGTCGTCATAGGCACGTGCCCTTTTATGCGGCGGTTTCCTTGGAGGGCGGATGTTTATTGCTGTGTGAAAAGAGAAAGGAGGGCAGCACCTGCATCCTGCGCAAGGAGAAAGGCATTTGCTTGGACCGAGGTGTGAATCTGCTATCCGGTCTTGCTACGTGTTGTTCACATCGCTCGGCCGCGCGATAGGCTCGTCCTCGAGCCGTCTGCAACGCTTGAACACTGCAGTAGCAGATAGGAATACAGGTTCTGTTCGGTATCTACAGATGGTTCCTGGTGATCCGATGGTCGCTTGGGTCGTCGCGCGTCAAGGTAGCGGGTGCGGCGGAGGTTTCGCACTGAGGTGCAACATTCAGTAGCGAGGAGGGTCAATCACCTTACTAAGTTGCAAGAAAAAAATGAGGGCATAATAAGAATAATTTGTTACGAGAAGGGTAATGTGTCAAGTAAGTGGGTGTTAATTATATGGATTTGTTAGGATTAGCGAGTTCTGTAGAGTACCATCATACCGGAGAGAGAAAAAGTAATTGGACAAAAATTCCATATCTTTGGGCTAAATAGGCAAGTATATATGCTTCGAACTTATAGGCAGCTGGGCCTGAACTTAATTCTAACAGTGCGCGTCTCGGCGCTTCAATCGTATGAGCGTAAGTGTGCGGCGGGCGCAGGATTCCTTCGTTTACGGCCTTGAGCCGGGCGTGCGCGTCTGAGGCGCTTCAATCGTATGAGAGTAAATAATATCGCGGTGCGGCGGGCGCAGGATTCCTTCGTTTACGGCCTTGAGCCGGGCGTGCGCGTCTGGGGCGCTTCAATCATATGAGCGTAAGTAACATCTCGGTGCGGCGGGCACAGGATTCCTTCGTTTACGGCCTTGAGCCGGGAGTGCGCGTCTGAGGCGCTTCAATCGTATGAGAGTAAATAATATCGCGGTGCGGCGGGCGCAGGATTCCTTCGTTTACGGCCTTGAGCCGGGCGTGCGCGTCTGGGGCGCTTCAATCGTATAAGAGTAAATAACATCGCGGTGCGGCGGGCGCAGGATTCCTTCGTTTACGGCCTTGAGCCGGGCGTGCGCGTCTGGACGCTTCAATCGTATGAGAGTAAATAACATCGCGGTGCGGCGGGCGCAGGATTCCTTCGTTTACGGCCTTGAGCCGGGCGTGCGCGTCTGGACGCTTCAATCGTATGAGAGTAAATAACATCGCGGTGCGGCGGGCGCAGGATTCATTCGTTTACGGCCTTGAGCCGGGCGTGCGCGTTTCGGGCGCTTCAATCGTATGAGCGTAAGTAATATCTCGGTGCGGCGGGCGCAGGATTCTTTCGTTACGGCCATGAGCCGGGCTTAAAATTAACTTGCGGTGATAATAAGTATGTAAGCCTATATGAAGTATGGTGTCCTGTAATGCATTATCATCGTTATGATCATTTGCAAGAGACTACCTACCATCAGTCAGATACAAGTTACATATTCACCAATTCCTTAAACTAAAGAAGCATAAATTCTAGCATAGATGATGATAAGATATCGAACTTCGAGAGGGTGTCATGAAAGCGATTTGGATTCATTTAAAAGTCTTAGGGATGACACTTGGTAAAATTCATAATCCTAAAGTGAAATCCGTGTAAGGTGGACAGGTAGGTGGGTTTGGGCCTAAGGCAGGTAATCGACATGTATCTTAAACCTATGTGTGAAAAAGCGAACGATTAGCGTGTGAAGTATATGAAAATACAGGTGTTGTGAAAGACAGAACGATATACGCACATTCATAGAGGAAGTAATAACGAATTACTTACTAATGGGGTACAGTATGCAGGTGAAAACAATAATATCACAACGAAAATCGTAGCAGTAAATATGAATAACATAGCGGGGAAAATCGAACATAGCAATACATAGTTATTTGTCCTAAGAGAAAATAAAATATAATGAACTGCAATGTGAGAACAACAATAATAAACATTAGATAAAATACAATAACAGAAAAATACCAAAGCAATTAAAGTATGGTTAGGGAAGGGGAATGAGGTGGGAGGTGTGGGTGGGTGTCACTTAGGTTTGATCTCAGTGTGTGACTTCGCTTGTTGTGTTGAAAAAACAATGGTTGACAGCGAGAAGTTATGTATTATATAGTTAGTAGTTTGTGTTCGTTGAGTGGCATGTACTTGAACTTGAAAGAAGGCAACTTGTATGTAAGGTGTGGGTGGGTATAGGGAGGGAAATAGCTAATCTGGCACTAATAGGTACACTTACTTTTGATAGTAGCTAGGAAGTATTGGTGCTGAGTAGAATGGCGGCTCCATGGTTGTACTGACGAAGGCTCGTGAAGACTTAGCGAGGTAAATGAGCCGGATTGGCGAGTGTGGCGGTGTAGAGTGCGAGAATATATCGTCAGCGACTTCGTCAGGAGGGTAGCACAGACGTGAGTGGTCAGCACGAAGTAGTGGGGTAGACATGGTGCGAAGAAGACTTGGTAGCGATGGCTGGGCGTTAAAGGAGGCGAGGAGGCACTTCGACAGGAGTAGCTTGTAGGCAGATAGCATGGATCAACGTCGACAAGGAGCGTAGTGGTAGGTGAATTACTGTCGGCGTTGTGAGGCTCTTGATCACCGCTGCCATCAGATGTAAGCGTAAGTGACCACCGCTGCCATCAGATGTAAGCGTAAGTGACCACGGCAAGCCACTAGATGTAAGCGTAACAGAGATGGTCTTGGGGCGGTCAATGAAAGGGGTCTTAAC